ACTCTGAGGATCCCCTCAAGCACGCTTTGAGTGCGAGATCGAGCGAGCGTCTAAGCCGTTTCTCAAGGCCGTGCTCCAGCGTGACGCAAGCGAAGCGTCGCTCGCTGTGCTTGTGGTGTCGCGTCTCGCCGTCGGTGCCTCGGAGCTGGCAGGTGGCAAGCTTAATGGTGGCGATGGCATCCAGCTGGAGCTGAGCGACGGCTGGTATTGTGTTTGGTGCGAAGTCGATGCGCTTCTCACCAATCGCGTCACCACCGGCGCCATCAGCGTCGGAACGAAGCTCGCCGTTGAAGGTGCACGGCTCATCAACACTACAAGTGCGGTCGACCCCCTTTCAATCCTTCTCGGTGATCGGAGCCCCGAGACGCCTGTGCTCCGCATCGAGGCCAACGGCGTCCGCCGTGCGCGCGCATCCGCGCGGCTTGGCGCTGTCCCATCATCGAGGATGATACTGCCCCTACGCTCAATATCTCCCGGCGGCGGTGTCGTGCCCTTACTTGACGCTATCGTAACCCGCGTTTGCGTCTCACCGCTCGGCGACGCAAAGCCCGATGGCGACAGCAGGCGCCGCATGGATATTGCTCATTTGATACCCATACGCAGCGCCGTAGTATTTCTGGCCAGTCGATCGCGGGTCCCTGGAGAGCCGATATCGACGGCGGAGCTCGAGCTGAGCGATGCTGAGGCGCTCCATGTCAACCATGTCCACGAGGGAGACCTTGTCCGAGTCTCTCGCGTCACGGCCGTCGCGCCGCGCCATGGCACCGGCCTCGTGCTCCGATTCACGCGCCGTGGCACGCTCGTAAGTCACCGATCGCCTGCACCGCGAAGCATCCTTGCGGCGAGTGCGTACCGACCGAGGAGGCTCGTCGACGGTGCCGCTCTTGTCGATCTCGGTGTTGTTGCTGTCGGCGCCCGCATTGACTACGCTGGTATTATCACCACTATCTACGACTCAGCCGCGGATTATGTAATACTTGAACTTGTTGACGCATCGCCGCACGTCGTCAGTGTCGCTGTTGAACGCGACGGAAACAATGATTTCACAAGCAGCCTCCAACGGGGTGTCGCCATTACTGTCCTGCACGCTATCCTCCTCGAGGTCAAAATCGGAGTCAATGGTGCAGCGCACGTGCCATGCCTCACCTGCGACGACCTCGCCGCACTCTGTATCTCACACCGCGCCCTCGAAAATGCAACACCGCCTGGTGCGACGCGAACCAGGCTGAAACTCGACTTTGATGCGCTTTTGCTGTGGGCACGCACACCTGATGCCCAAGATGCCCACGCCCACGCTCTTTTATCTCAAGCATCACGTCGGCACCAACCAGACGCAGAGCCCTCAAAGTCTAGCGCACACGATGCAAAGGTGTGCCTCGTCGCCGCACTCCTCATTAAACTCCAGCAAAATTCCGGTGGTACGATGCACGCTGACCTCTTCGACGGTACTGTGTGCGCACCCGATCTCAATGCTGCCCTCGAGGCTATGCAAACCGACGGCATCATTTACGTTGCCGGTGGGAAATACTTTCCTATGTAGACCAAGCGCACACGACCCAGCCGCAGAAATTATGGCACCGGCAGAAGAGCTCCTGTTCGAGCCAGTGCCGGATGTGTGAACGCGATAGTCGACGCATTCCAGTTTGGGCCCCTTCCGGGGGCCCAGCGCCTGAGGAAAGCTCCTGGCCGTCGGCATAGTGCTGTCGGGACCGTCGTGCGTTCCCTGGGAGCTTTGAGCGCCTCTCTGGCGGCTCGGGCGCGGCGGCACGCGCTGCCAACCGGCAAGTACCACACTCTAGCATGCCAGCGAGCGCGGCGCTGCGCCGTCGTGACCGGAGCCAGTCGCGCGGCAGCCTCGAACGCCTGGGCGCGACTTGCATGGCGCACAGCGCCATCGAGCGTACCTGGCTGGCCAGGGGGGCTGCTTACGTTGGTTCCTGGGCTCCAGGCAGGCCGTATGGACCCATGGGCCAGATCTGACCCAAGAACACGACTACCGAGGTCAAGATGCGCTCCCCGGGTCGATTCGAGCGCTGCGGCCCACTGCGCGCAGCGACTGCGCGCTGCGGCCGCCACCACCGGACTGACTTCCCCAAGTCCCACCTCCCTGGCCCCCCTCCCCCTCGCGCGATGGCCGGGTAAGGTTCGCGGATTCGGCAGGGTGATGGTCACGATTGCGGCCATTCAGTGACGAGATCGAGCTGTGAAGTTCACTTTTGGACGGCCTGAGAAATCAAAATGACCGAAGCTCAATCAAACACCGCAGGGTATACGTCCGTCGCCGTCCGGTTCCTAGCCGTACTGGCGACTCCCGCGAGCTCCCTAGCCGTACTGGCGACTGCAAGTTGATACTGTGGCGGGAGACTAGACTGAGGTATCCTGACTGGCTTAGCTTGAAGTTGGCAGTGCAGTGCCCACTGGTGGGCTTGTATCTAGAGTCTGGCTTTAGGGTAGATAGAGCGAGCGACGGAGGATACATATCTGGATTTCCATGACGTTGCCCCTTTTCTTTCCTACTCACTTAACTCCAGCGATTGAGGACAGAGAGCCCCGATCAGAGAGTAGTCTGCCTACTTGAGTAGGGAGTCTACTAACTAATTATTACCATACCCTAGTCAGGAGTCAGGCTGAGGGCAAATTACCTCCATAATACAGTACGCTACTCTACTACTACCCTACCGTAGTGACTACCATCATGCTAGTACTGTACCTACCCTAGTTAGGCTCTCCTTCCCGTTCCCCTCCTTTATAATCAGTTACTATACAATGACTGCGCTACCGTAAGGTAGCACACTGAGCTTCCCCTCTCACCCACTGTGCTTATCCTGCTACTACGGACTGTACCTTAACGTCAAGTTGATGTGCGGGACTTAGATTCCTTACAGCCGGCGGCCAGCGCATCCTGAGCAGAAGTGGTTCGGTAGATTGGTGGCGAGGGTTCTGCAAAGAATTGATATCAGAAGTGGTTGTTGTGAAGTGGATAATCGACCTTGATGTGGTCGACGATCGTACACCACTCTCTGATGGGTTCTCCGTGGCTGGTTATGTGCGCGTGATACATGTCCTGGAGCTGGTGTCTGATGTGAGGTATCATATCGGCTTGTAGGTGCTTCCACGTTTTCATTAATATAGCGACCTAAGTATGAAACATTGCCATACTCCTCTGAGACCGGATCTGTTGAACAGGGCTGATCAGGAAAAGTCTATTGAATATCTTCTCATCATATAAAGTATTAAAATAGCAAGTTTTGGGTCGGGCCCTTGCGGTTCGACACGGAATGAAACGACGACGTTGCCGAGTCGGTTTTTGGGAACAAGCCGAAAGCGGAATGTCCATTTGGTTCTCGCGGAGTCCAGGCTGCTAAACTTCCATATACCCTGGAGCTTGAAGATGAACATTCCTAGAAACCCAGTCTGATAAACGCTGTAGCGGAATATGTGCGCCACGTCGTTTCGGTCATCCACGACCTCCAACACCTTGGAACCTGCGAGCGGAGGTGTCTCCGCAAGGTCAGGAGCGAGCAGGGCTAGTACCATCGGTCAGAGAGTACTCCGCCCGACTCCCTGCCCGTGGAAAATTCGGCGTTACCTCGACGGAGACGATCCCTGGATGGCCACGATGCGGGAGGTCAACATCGGCCATATTCAGATACCGGGGAGACGCGTGCTCCCACACGAATTCTATTGGTGCATTAATAACCTAGAAACTCCACACTCCTACGGCATGAAGTCGCGGCCAAAATTACCTGGAAATGTGGAGTGAATGAAAAGCGCTCGTTGTCGTCGTGTAGACTCATTAGATGTCCAACACCGACCACGGCGGCTAGCAGCCCAGCGCCAACAGAAATTTTTACCTGAATGTGCATGCAGGGCCTTATTCTTAGGAGTCTTTCTTGTGGGGTCACCGTCTTGTGATCTAGAAGCCGCGGCATGTTGCCGCGTGGAAACTGATTGATTGTCAGCGCGGTTTCTTTTTTTTAATACGCGATATTAAGGGATGATACAAGATATAGAATGATAAATAATATAGTTGGAGTTAGGTGTGCCGTCAACATGGGCTCCACCCACCCCGGGGACTAGCCATGACCCCCAGGAAAAGAGCGGGGTTGGCTGGGTAGGTGAATGATGGTCCTGGATACGCCTCAGGCGCACAACAATACTCGCAGGGGCAGCTGCGAGAGTTACGTGGACTGACCTACCAAACTGCCCCCAAGCAGAGTCGGCCGAACCTGATTGAGCGGATTCTGAGGACTCCAGCTTCCGGTTACCTATTGTGGTTGGTAGTCTTTAGCTGCCAGCGTATTCACAGTGCTCATATTAAAACACAATATGTTTCCGGTAACGAGTTAGTGAGTTAGACCACCTATCATCATCCAGCTAAATAAAACTGCTGGCTGTGGTGGTCCTCTCCCAGCTCGCCGCTTCCCCGAGGACCGGGGTGGCGCGGCTTATTTTTTGAGCCCGCCCACCACCCTCCTTCGGCAAAATGGAGCACCCGCCCTACCCTACCCTCCTCCGTCCCCGCTGAGGTGGCTGCGCCATCCAAGCGCGGTCCGTCGGCCTTCATTCTGGCACCCTTAATTGAACTGAGCTCAGCCTCCCCTTGTGGGAGGAGTTTACCTTGCTTCCTTTAGCTTCAGGCTAGTGGGAGATACGAAAGTCCAAGTGGAACTACAAATATATCCGCGGGCATGTTTCGGGGCCAGCCCCAAGGGGTGGGGCGCAGGGCGTCGCGGGCCGCAGCCGCGCAGCCTTCGCACGGCGATGACCATCAGTGATAGTGCAGGTACTTGAAGTCCCTGTGATACCTGCGATGGATACTTTTGCTTGTGCGTGGTGCGGACGGGGGGGCAAAAAAATGCGGTTGTGTACCGGCTGCAAGAAGGTTAGGTACTGTGATGCGCTGTGTCAGAAGAGTGATTGGAGGGCGGGACACCGGACCACGTGCAAGACCGGGTCGACAAAACAAGACACAACATTGTTGGCGCACCCTTGTGGCATCTGCAAGGCGCGCGATGACGACGACCCGATGAGGGGGCGGCAGACGTTTTGTTATCGATGCGGGCTTCTAATTTGTGGCGCATGCCGTCCATTGCTGGAGGCGCGGCAGATCGAGCGCTGCCCGGGATGCCGGGGAAGACCTCGTGTTACGGATGTCAAGGACCTAGAAGATATGCGGGTGCTAGCGGGAGCAGGTGACATGGAGGACCGGTGCCTGGCGTTGGTTAAGGTGGAACTTGGTGCCTGGCTCGGGGAAGGGCGGGGGGTGATGGAGGCCGACAAAGTTGCGGGGATCCGTGCGCTTCGAGATGCGGACGAAGCCAGATGCGCCCGAGCAAGTCTCAGTCTCGCCGTGTGCCACGCAACGGGTTCTGGTGTGGCCTTGATGTTAGCGCGCGCACGAGCACACTGCGAAGTGGCGGCAGAGGCTGGGTTTGTTGACGCCCAATTCAGTTTAGGATGCTTGGCTCTCGATGGAGGCGATGATGCCCGGGCTGTTGCCAAGTTAAAGCAAGCTTCGCGTGGAGGCGACGTCGGGGCGATGATTATGCTGGGCGAGCTCTACGAGGCAGGCCGTGGCGTTCCTGTGGACTGCGGCAAGGCGGCTGCACTCTACAGGGCATGCAAGTTGTCACAGATAGCGGCGACTCACCTCGGTATTCTGCATAAAGATGGGCGTGGAGTTCTTCAAGATGGAGAGCTTGCTGTCCGGCTTCTGATTATGGGTGCAGAGGGAGAGGCGAAGGTCCTCGAGGCACAATGTGAACTCGGAGACATCTACCTAATTGGAGACCCTAAAATTGCGCGTGATGCGGAAAAGGCAGAGAAGCTCCTAGGAACCGCCGCTGCAAAGGGCGAATCGCATTCTGCGTACCAGCTCGGATGCCTCCTCATCCGTGGCATGGGAGACGTTTTCCACGATGAACCGCGCGCTGCATCATGTTTCCGCGTGGCTGCCAAGGCTGGCTCAGATGCGGCTATCTTCAATCTTGGGTCTGCACCCCAGCGTCCAAATGAGCCTGCTTTATCTGGCCTGCCCGCAGTCATTCTCATCGACAATTCAATGCCCGCAGGTGCATGCATGTTAGAGGCTTCCTGAAGTCGATTGAGTATCCCGAGCCAGAGCCCGGTGCGAGGGGGGCTCCTGCATCCTTAGTTCATCGTGCCGAGCCTGACAAGCTCCGCGCAGCTCGTCTTTGGCAGCAAGCTGCTGATCGTGGCTTTGCGCCTGCACAGAAACTTGGCAGCGTCCGTGAGCCTCGCGGTGTTGACATTCTCGTTTCTGCTGCCTAGGTACCACGTTGCCAAGTTTCTGGAACGTGGGCTTCTGGGCTATGACACGAATCTCTACGCGGCTGCGGCTCTTTATGCGAGGGCTGCGAGTCAGGGCCATCCAGAAGCCCAGCGCCGGCTCAGTATCCTTTACTTTAAAGGCACTGGTGTAGAGAAGGATGAAGTCAAATCTGCGGCGCTCTTCAAACACGCCCAGGCTCAGAGCCCCATCATGTCTATCGCAGCTGAGCCCGCCTTTGCATCTCCCGAAGCGTGCGCACGACCGCCCCGACTATTATTCTGCCACGCCAGGCCAAGCGGCCTGTGGAGAGGGGCGTTTATTGCGTGACAATGCTAGCAGGCCAATTTACGAATCGGAGTTCCGCTAGACCACACATAGCCGCAATATAGAATGCCTGGTAGGCTCCAGAGCAGTCTCTCGCACTCACTAGGTCCAGGAAGACTCTCCGTCTATTACAGTGCGGGGCGCAACTATAACAGGGTTAGAAAGTATCAAGGGGAGGGAATGATCTGAGTGGCTCTGTACCAGCGAGCCACTAGGAAGGTACAAATTAGCGAGATAGTAAACTCCGAGGCGGGGAAGCAGCCTGATGTGGCTGCCCTGCCGTCCGAGGGTGAACTATCGAGGTTGCGCAATGGCGGTACACCGGTGTCTCTGTTAGGTGCACGATACCCTCGTAATCCTGTATTGTGATCAAGCGGTCTTAGAACCGCACCTATCTCTGATCTAAGTGTGGGTGCTAAGACTCCTGCTTCTGTGTCTGGTTCTTGGAAACCTGGCCTGTCGAACCCCCACTCGGCGGTTAGCTCTGACTGGGTGGACTCTGAGGACTCCAGTTTCCGGTAGCTGGGACCAAAATATGGCGGTAATTTGCCCTCAGCCTGACTCTTGACTAGGGTATGGTAATAATTAGTTAGTAGACTCCCTACTCAAGTAGGCAGCCTAATCTGGGATCGGGGCTCTCTGTCCTCAATGCTATACCGAGGACGGTATGAATCAAGTTTGGGGGCCTGTAGCGGGAATTGTCCCTTCAAGGTATACTTCTCTTATTAGCTTGAGGTTCATAGTGCAGTGGATATATGCTAGCTTAGTTGCTCACTTGTATCTTTTGTACGAGGATACGCGGAAGCGGTATCCTCTCCTTTCTTTCTCTTGCACACTTTTAGTGACCGAGGAGCCTGGGAGCGCGATTGCAGCTCACAGCTTAGTGTTACTAGATCCCCACCGGTTGGTAGGGCAGTGTAAATATCTACCTTTCTAGTATACAGTGAAGGCTTTATTCCCTTTACAGTTAAGTGAGTAGGAGAGAAAAAGGGGCAACGCCATGGAAATCCAGATATGTATCCTCCGTCGCTCGCTGTATCTATCCTAAAATCAGACTCTAGATACAAGCCCACTGCACTGCCAACTTCAAGCTAAGTCAGACAAGATACCTCAGTCCAGTCTCCCGCCACAGTCTTCTATTATTGTGCGCCTGGAGCGCACCCCAGGAAAATCTTCTCCTATCCAGCCGGCCCTATTCTTTTCCTGGGGGTCATAGACTAGGCTAGTCCCCGAGCTGGGTGGAGCCCATGTTGAAGGCACACCCAGCTCCAAATCCAACTATATCATTCTATATCTTATATCATTCCTTAATATTATCCTATATCATTATGTATCTTGTATCATTCCCGGGATGAACATATTATGGATATAGTCGCGATCGAACCGCGATTACTGAGCTACGCAGGTGGACACGTCCGATTGTTCTTCCTGTGTGAGATTAAATTTTCAACATGTTTGGTACGATTTCGTCGCTGGTGCATCGGTGGCACCGAAGTTCTGGAGCAAATAGTGGAAGCGTGTCCCAAGGAACATTTCCCATATTACTATGTCGATTGTCATCTCTCCGGCACCACACAAGCAGACGCAGTTACACACATTAGCTTTACCATATCAAGAAGCGACCATCCTCAAGTAGAAGCCAAAAGCAGCAGCATTGTCAGTCTAGGCCAGCTTTTGCCCGACGATATCGCCGTCGTGGCGCCACACGTGCTCCAAGCAAATAGTTATTCGCGGGTGGTTGTTGCTATTCGTTATTCGCCCTGGTTGGCCACTGTTCTTCCACTGCTTGTTCAGTCATCATCCCTGACTATCCGGCTATCGTGTATTACAGGGAGCTCCATCAAGACGTTTGACTGTGGGGCATCTCTTCGACTAAGGAATGCCACAAGAGTTGACAGCGGGCAGCTTCGAGTTGCAGCCTACTTGCAAACGTTCTTATTCTGTATGCCTGAATGTCAATCGACCCTTCTTGATGTTTCACTTAATGGCACGAACTTTGTGCGGTGCGAGGCAGAACTCAGCGTGCTTCCCTTATTTGCAATCATTCACACTCTACCACCAGTTATTAATTCGATGGATACTGCGGGTTTAGTAGTTCTTTGTTCTTCGCCCGTGCCCTTGACTCCAGTGAATGGCCAGTTCCCTGACATGCTCCCGAAATGCTGGCACCTTGAAATTACTAGCTGGTGCGATACTAATTTTTCCTGTGAAAATGATACTAGTCATTCAGATACAAATAAAATATTCCAGGCAGGTCCTGTCCTTGCCAGGCTACCTGTGATCCTATCTCAGCCACGAAAGGAGGAAATTAGTATGCTTGATGGTCTGATGAAACTGCGCCGACATAAGTATGGAGGCACAATTGGCCATGGACCAAAGCCGTTTAATTCAATCGAACTTGCACTCAAAAACCTCAGACTGGTCGTGCTCCGGTCTGTTGGCTTTTTGCGTCGTTTTGCTTTGTGTGACACCGAGGTGGAAATTGATGTGAGTTGCCATGATACCCGTAGGACTATTAGCCTCGGCAATCTTTGGATGCATCACAGAAAACCATCTACGGCATGCCAGGCGTACATCAAGTTCACCCATCCGGAAGTCTCGCAGCATGCCAGCATGAAAGCATTTGAAGCAATGCTGAAGAAACAGGATGCCAATAATATGTTGGGCGAGAGTATTTTACAGCTTCAAATTGCTGCAAATGCCCTTGCTGACATTGCAAAGAGTGTCCTAGAACTCTGTATTGTGTTCAGGAGGCAAATATGCAAAGCGAGCTCTTGTAAGGTATATGAAATAGTTGCTCGTGGCTCAATCCCAGTGAGCGTAGCCGAATCGAATGGCGCACAAACCGCAAATCTTGACATGTGTCATCCACTGTGCAGAGTTTGTGAGCTAGATGTGACTATATCTACATCAGACATACAAGTCAGGTCGATGGCAGATACCAAGAGCGCCAACGTATACGCATTCAGATCATGTGGCGTACAGGTCATCAAGCATAATATCAAGGGTGGTCTCTTATTAAATCTTCGAGCCAAATGTCATCATATGGCCGTCTATGAATCTTCAGCGGTAAGCCATTGGGATTTTGTCTCGTCACGATGGCAAGTGCACGCTTTTGACAAGCAAGATTGGATGGTACAAGAAGCGGTCCCGGAATCAAGCTTGATTGAGCGTGAAGTAGACGTAGAGATTCGGGGCTCCGGTTTCAAGTATGCGCTCGAATCGTCCCTACGAGTGTGCATAGAATTAGAAAATAGCAGAATTCTTCAAGCAACTGGAATGTTGGTTGATGATAGAACCATCATTTTCAAAACACCATCTATCGATACGCCGCAGATGGCTCAATTGCGAGTTGCATTTGATTTTGGAAAAACTACTTTGTGGTCAAATCCAGTTTCCTTTCAATTTTTCCCCTATCCAAAACTGCAAAGTCACTGGCCACCATTTTTGCCAAACTCAACCGGCGGGACATTGTCGTTTCACGGCGATTTTTCCTGTAAAGTTGATGCTCTTCGTGTATTTTTGTTCTCGCCGCTGGACATGATTGATGGTGAGCTTGACCAGTCTGTTGTGGCTGCTGCTAGCAAATACTCCAGTCTCATCAGGCATCCAATGAAACAAGGTATTGCCCCTGCTTTTGCAGCTGCTATGCAGGTCAGAGCCGCAGGTGGGACTAGCGCTGCAGCTGCAGCTGCAGCGGGAGCTGCCTCTATCACCACTGCTTCTGGCAGCGACTTTGAAAACATAAGAGCTATGGTGGCGGACGCAGTACGAGCCACGGGGGGGACCAAGGTGGCTGCGTTGGTCGCTTCGCACGCTGCAATTCAAACTGCTCATTCCGTGACTAGACATGCGCATACTAACAAGGTCAAACGATTTTCGTTGAATGCTGGTGGCTTGAGGCCGTACATTGGGCGTAGTTCGATACTTGATGACACAAGATCAAAAAGCCTTGAGCAGGCATGCGCGCACGAGTCTGAAGTATTGACGGAGGGCTCGGAAACATTGCTCTTCGGATATAAACTACACCAGCTGGCTAATCTCAGCCACGATCATAGTTGTCGGTATATTGACGTTGCGTCCCATTTAGTAGACTCCAGTAACCTCAATTGTGTCTTACCACCAAACCTACCAGTTTATGAGATTCATGCTGCATTATCAAGGTCACTTAAGTACTGCAGGGAGGAGAAACGGACAGTATACCTCTTCACGGTGCGATTCAATGATCGGTTTTGTGTTTACTCGTTCGTAATCAGGTGGGTGGAATCTGGCCCGTGTGTGGCGAAGCTACTGGTGGAACCCTTCTGCGCATATCTGGATTGAATTTTGATAACGCCTTTAAGTTCAGTCAACAGAGCAGCTGTTCGCCGGCTCGCTCCACGACGTCTTCAACAGATTCTAGTTTATCACACCTTGAGCCACGTGCTTTGGCTCGAACTCAGTCGTTTTTGCCTCATGCAGCAAGACCGCCACCAAATATC